TAGGGAGGCAGGGCGAGGACTTGGCTTTGTGTAAGGTTGATGGTGAGGAAGCTGGAGCATGACCAACTGACGACGAAAGCGGCGAATTCGACAATGGGGAAAGCGAACAGTTTCCAGGGAATCCAAAGGTCGAGGAAGATGGAACGAAACGGGTGGGCGTTTGGTTGGAAGATCTTCCACTGCCATTTGCCAGGTTTGCCGCGGCCAAGGAAGGGGTCTCGCTGAGCTGTCTCGGACATCTCTAGGCCGGCCGTGTTGGGCAGGACGGAGTTAGCTGTGTTGATGTGCTGGATTGGATTTGTCTCTTTCTCGCTATCGGAGTGATTGATGTCTTCCTGGGTAGTTGCTCGCGTCTTCTCTTCTAGTGAACTGGGTTTCTTCTGCCCTAAGTGCTCGGGCAAGGCGCGCTTGAACCTTGTTTCTGGGAACATAAAGACCACCATCAAGAATGAAAGGCCGAGGATGCCTGTATTGAGCCACCAGAAGCTGCGCCAGCCGACCGTCTCAGTCATCGATCCAGACACGATGGGACCGACCATCAGCGAGCCCATGTAGACTACCCAGTAAAGAGTGTTCCACTTCCCACGGTCGTGCAAGAAGAAGATGTCGGCGATGATCTCGGGCATGATGGTCTCGGCCGGTCCAGCACCGATGCCATTGAGAATGCACGCGCCCATGAACGAATTGTAGGAATTGGCCTTGGCGCGCCATATCGAGGTACCGAAGTTGATGAGTTGGGATGCGAGATACACCGGGCGACGACCGAACGATGTGCTAATTGGAACCCTAGCATTACCCATTAGTATCTGGCCCCTGTATCTTGGTCTGATGCTACTCACCAGATGAAGTTGCTAAATCCCAGTACCAAGATGCAAACACCAGTGAATTGGACTGCTCCGGCCAGATCGGTGTTGAAAGCTTCGATCAGTGCCGGAAACATTGGTGCTAGAGCCAATGGACCAAATCCTTGTGTGAACGTGGCCATTGATGCCGCCATGATGCATGCCATCTTCCAACCGGTACTCCAATTAAGAGGATCGTTGGGATCATCGCTGGGTTGTGGAACGAGGACTTGGCGGTGCGCTCCTTTGACGAAATGGTGTGAGCCTACATCTGCCATGACCTCCGTGCCGGGAAGGATCTCTGTGTGCAGCTCGGCTTCGAGCTGCCGGCGTTCCTGCATCTCTTAGCACTGGGCGGCATCAATCGTCTTGACCACTTACATCTTCGTTATAGTCGTGTGCCTCCATCGTGATCAAAGCAACTGATGTGCGAGAGACGATGATTGTGCTCAGACCAAGGATATAGCGAGGTACTTGTATCGCGTATTGTACGAGCAGGCGCACTTCGCGGGCCTATTCTGACTCAATCTGGAATGTCGGTGCTATTGCGATTCGACTTCGAAAACCAGCCGGAGTGCAAGTCAGACGTGGCTTGCCATGGAGCGCGTGAAGATATCGGCAGGATAGCACCGTGAGCACCTCTCGTGATCCGGCAATTGTAGTCGGAGCAGAATCCAAGACAAAAGGTTACTAAAATGTGTAGACAACGGCCGGTCGATCCTCTGCTGAGCGTCTGGGTACTTATCGCCCATCCTGATTTCCAACAGCCAGGTTCTCCGCATCTTCCACACGTGAAGGACCTGCGTGCCGTCTCATCGTTCATAGCACATCATCTACGGCATATATCAGCGCGCGCTGTCCAGTCATGAGCCTTGAGCACGTATTAGCCTCTGTTTAGCCCCGGTACGCCGATACATACCCATGTTCGCAGCGCTGAAATCTCGACCCAGGTTCCGGGATCGAGCGGCAGCGGATGAAGTGGGCGGCAAATGTCTTGCGAGCACGCTCAGCCACGCTGCGCGAGTTCACGCGAGGGTTAAGCTGACCGCACGGGGATTTGATCGAAAGAGTGATGGTTTGGTGATCGTGAGTGAGGTTTGACGACTTGTGTAACTGCCGAGCCACGCTAGTTTGCGCTACGTCACTAGTGCGATGCGGGGAAAATAAGGGGAAGCCGCCACGAGAAGACTAGAACGCCGAGCTTACGACACCAGCATCGACGGTCCAACATCACGACAGGGAGCTCCTGCTGTTCTACTGATAATATCTTCGTTGTGTCTAGCCTATCGCGCAACCTCACTACGCCTCAGGCTTCAGCGGCGCGGGTCGTAAAGAGCATGTTTGTCTCCAGGTATCCCAGTCCTTCTACCGCCTATCCCTCTAAGTATTCTGTGCCTCAATCTTCGCATACGAACCGATCGTGTACTTTGGGGTCGTAATTCATGCGGCCTGTAGGCCATGGGAACTCGAAGTTAGCTATCTCGCCGTAGGCAGGCGGACCGAATTCCTTCCACCAGTGGCACGGGCGCTTGCAGAAGCACACAGGAGGACTGCAAGAGATGGTCAGAACACACATCGGCAACAACAGTCTCAAGCTGGAGGGAAACAAGACTTACAAAGGTCGCCGCAAGTAATCTGACATGATTGTCAGCCTTTCAGCGGAAAGGTCGTGAAGCGTACCATTGCGCTCATCATGCAGTATTGCCTCCCACTTAGTACGTGTGCTGAGTTTCACATGTCCGGACATAGTTACGGATGGTATCTGTCGAAGGTCTTCCAGCGCCAGTGTGAAGAACCAATCCAGTAGTGTCTTCTGACAGGAGATCAGGTCAGTAGGATGGCTCGGCAACGACCGAACCCAAGGGTCGTGGGAGAAAAATTGATCTTCGTTACCTACCCTCTCTATCCATCGGGGGAGAGAAACCTGGAAATGCAAATGGAGGCGAGCTAGCGTCGGGATCCTCCCAAAGACTCGAATCAAAGCTTGACCTGGCCACTCCACTTGGCGTTGGTCATCATAGCCCAGAAACCTGAAGTAAATGGAGTTTGGAAAACCGAGAGAGATGTGACGGAGCCATTTGCCTTGCAAACTAGGCAACACCTCTATGAGCGTCCAGGGATCCCGAAAATGCGGCACAGTCGATGTCACGGTAAACTTGCGGAACTCGGCTCTTACCTGCTTACAGATGTACTGTATGTTGGTGTTGATCGACGCCCAAGGTCGTTCATTTCCGATGGGATCGAGAGAGTACTGAGAAGTCCGTGCGAATGCCATACAGCGGTTAGTGTACGCTGTATACGTTGCCTGGCCGAAGATTCTCAACGGACTTCTTAACGGGTGTTCATGGTATCCTAGCTTTTTGTGAGGCCATATGTAAAGCCCAAGAAGCTGTCTGTATATCATCGAGCGAAGTTCGAAAGGCAAGTCCAACAACCTAAAAGGGCGGCCATTCGCCTGCCACCAGCACTGTTGGCTGTTGTCAACAGCACGTGGAGGTAGTGTCGCGAGCTTTGCCGTGAGCCAGTTTCCGAATGAAACCCATTGATATGAGAGCCCAATCTCTACGTCGCTCAATAAGGTTGCTACTGGACCGCATGTAAGAACCAATGAGGGTCGTCGGCGTATCTGTAATGCATTTGTCTTGCCAAGTTCCCCAGATGTATGGCGCGCGAAGAAGGTTCCGTCTTGAAGCGACTCCAAGGACATGTCGGCGATCGAGGTCTTCCTCCATACATCGAAGTCGATCTTGCGCAACTCGAGGAGACGGTCCTGTAACATACGGTAGTCAACGAGCTGAGAGTCGTGTCAGCCTGGTATTCGAGTAACGTTCACGTCGCACGTACAAGCCCGGTCTCGTTGCTAAAGCCCTTACATTTGCACCGAACCTCAACCCAATCACGTAGAGGACGCCAGTTACGGCGCCCGCGGACCTGGACACATGCTAGAGGAGATATGTCTGCTATGTCTGACTTGTTCGACAGCGATAGATCATAGCGTATCTTGACGCGAGGGGTTCCTGGGCTTGTACCAACGAAGCTATAGTAGCCGGAAGAAACTTGTTGGATCTTTCGCGGAGACACCTTGAGCCCGGCCGTTTTCGCGTGGAATGTGGCGCATCCGCGGCGCTTCTCGGCAATGTACTCGTTGATCGTGGCAGAGATCAAGTCCTTGGATTGTCAGTGTTGCCACACAATAACCTTGTATGATACGAACTTACTGCTTCTTCGACCACATTAGAAGCTTCCTGACGACTCGAGTGTTGTGACATTTTGCCGCTGGGTATAGGGGTTGAGTACAAAGCGACTGGTCATAGTTCTTGAAGAAGTGTGATGGACAGAGGTTTTATATACGCAGGCGCAAAAATTGAGGAGTGTATGGCCCTTAGGCAGCAATCTGCGTGAAGGATTAGGGTCTACCTCATTAAGTTAGTGTGTCGAAGCTTACTGGAGACCCAACAAAGGTAAATCTGGGAGCGGAACTGGGAACTTGTAGTCGCTTGTCGGCGAGATGATCGTATGTTTCATAAAGCGCGTTGCGAGATTACGAATTGTCGGCTGCGAGTACGACAGATAGGCAGGACATCTACATCGCATTCGTATTGTCTGAACGTGTTCATTCAAAGACATTGTAGGCTACATAGTAGACGATGGTCAACTTGCGCCAGGGCCAGACTCGGTCCAAAGCTCCGTACCTATCACATGCTGTCATAGGTATCATACCTTCTCAGTACCAGGAAGACTCCACAATCGCACCTTCTCCTTCCTCAGCTAGGAACCCTTTTCCACCACCGGCGGGAATTCGTGGAGCAAAATCGCCAGGTACCCACATCACGGGCGCGAAACTCACCCCATGAAACTTCCTCATGCTGCAGGAGTCGAGTTCGTCAATGAGACACTTCGTATCCTGACAGACATGTCCATATACGCAGTCTGCACGATGGCAATCACCGCCCATCGCGCAAGGGTTCCTCTTTGTCATATATCTAACCACCTTGTAGATCTGGCTACTAATTTCAGAGTGATCAAAAGAACAGTCGCTACCAAAGCGGCATTTTCCTTTCCCGAGGTGGAACAATCTGCAAGGCGGGGCGGCGCCACTTCCGAATTTCTCTGCGTATGCTTGTCTATCGGCGATAGAAGGAAGCCCCATATGGTAGTCTAGACGATGCCCAGCTTCGTTGACGGGTACATGGCCACGTTTTGCGTCTCGAAGATACGGAAGTCGGAGTTCTTGACGATGCGCATCCGTAGTATCGTTCGGCGTAGTAGGTTCAACGTCGCAATCATAGTGAGTGTCGACGTAGGAGAGATCGTGTGACTCGTTTTTGCAAGAAGCGTCAACGCTGAGCAGTTTCTCTACGAAGCGCTTGCGCATAGAGTGCGATGTGAGCGAAGAGAACGGGTCTTTTCCTGCGGGCTTATCGAAGATATTCGGGATGCTGATAAAATCGCACGGCAGAGGAACGAACTTGGCCCCCGCGCCCATCCCGTCGCCCTGGACTAGCGTGACCTTTTTGGAAGATGTGCGCAACATCGCGAGGTATACGGGTCGTCTCCAAGCAGCGAGGAAGATGTGCTTGCAATTTGGATCGTATCGAGCTGTTTCGAAGGCATCTAATATGGTTAGGGAAGATAGTCCGAGATGATCAAGTGTTACTCACTAGAGACTTTGAGCTCTACCGTAGCTTCATCTTGAACGCCGATGAAGTCGAAGTCGGCGTCAATCGAGGAGAATTGAACAGCAAATTGCTGAAGCGGGCGAAGTAGATCATTCTCTAACTTGGACGAGTTGGCATATAGGCGCACAATCAGTCGAGACGCCCCGAGTGCTGCAACCGCGGATATACCGATCAAGTAATTCTTAATTGCTTTCTGAAGACGACTCTTGATGTTAAATGGCTTGACTCTTTCGAACTCGGAGTAGATGTGCTCGGAGGACTCGTGGTAGACATCGTTACAGAACTGAGTGTAGAGTTAGCAGTTGATGATGTAAAAGTGCTCGTCATGTTGAGATGTACTCCAACACTCAAACACGTCCTAGACGGCTACATTGTCATCTGCTTCTTTATCTTGCAACGTAGATCGTCGTGTATCCATCTGACTTAGGCTCTGGATAATGGGTACAAGGGAACAGCTTACCGGATGACTATGCGCATCAATCAGCACCAGTACGTGAGCATCGCCGCGTGAGTGGAACTTGGTGACAGTCTGCTCCAACTCCACCGCAGCCTCTTGGAGCGACGTCTTGGATCTTTCGTGAGGATCTTCGTGGGTCGATATGCTATCAGCGAGGCTACGCAGTCGCGCCGCCAGCTCAGCGACCTTCTCGGGGCTCGCCATGGTGTTGAGAAGATGAGAGAGAAGCCTCTGGGGCTGGAAATTTCTATATTGGCGTCTTTGAGATCCCTGTCAAAGCGCGTCGCTCCTCATCTTCACCATTCACCGCGCCAAGGCGGTGAGCGTGCGGCGATCGACCGATTAGGAAGTCAACATAACAGACGCGACAAAGACGCTCGAAATGATCGCAGTTGAAAGCGGTAGAAGCAGATGGAAGCAATGGTAAAGAGAAGTAACGCAAGAAGTGGACCTGTCGACCGATGAGACTGTGTAGCAAATTTTAAGGCATTATGAAAGGTCAATAGTGGTCGAAGACAAGGCCTTAACGGCCGCAGCGCAACGTCGGAAGCACTGCATATCTTGACGCAGTGCTAATGCTACCTCCAGTACCAAGACCTAAGTATCGGCCATCGTAGCTGAGCGGCTTCTCTTCGCATGCTTGATTTGAATATCTCTTTCTCCCTTTCTCGGCAAAACGAATAGCTTTCCAGCAAGCATATGCAATGAAGCACCGTTAGCGGCCCGTGGACCCTGGGAGTATCTGCGTCTACCAAGTGGGCAACATGGCGAGAGAGAACGGTCCTCAAAGATTTCCATAAAATGCAACGAGATGGCGTGAGGATGTATCTGTTGAAGCGCAACGGAGAGAACTACCCGGGCGGTCGGCATCACCAGCGCTCTAAGATGATGATCAATGATGTCATCACCCTTTCCTTTTCCCACAATCCCAGCCACACCGATCCGTGTGGCTGTTCCTGTTTCACCATCCACATCAACAACATTAGAGTACCCTCTTTGATAGCATACTAGACTCTTCGCGCCACGCTTCTATATACTCGCATCAGTCTGCCCGCGTGGGCGGAATACTTGCCCCAGCTCCTCTAGGCCAGCGTAGCACGCTCTTATGGCGAGAGCAGCCACCTGCTCACTACGCGCGAGTGCACACATCAATAACGATTGCCAACTCGTTTGCGATCATCGTACGATTTTTCGGAAGCAAGGCAACTGCTTAGTGTCACTGCTAAGTAGCCCTTGAACGTCTCGCTACGCCGTTTGATGCTATCGGTATCGCCATCGGCTCTGCTGCGTTGCGACAGGCGCTGCTTCAACAGACCCAGAACAGTCAAAGGCTATAAGAAGGTTGATAGAACAAACATCCCGTTCAAGATACTGCTTGGTCCAGTTTTTGCGAGATTACTGGTGGTAAGTGTGCGAGCCTCGTTTTATTGTGGTCTAGTGCCTACGAAAGCATCACCCAGGAAGAAACCTTGGAAGTCTCCCGAGGTCATTTCACCATCTGGAGCACTCTTACCCACTTTGGTTCCTTTCGGTCTAACGCAACCATTGCGAATTTCTGCATCGATAATACTCGTGTAGGGGCTGTCAGGCTGAGTGGCGTCTGCCTGCAGAACGTCTCCTACGCTCAAGTGCGCACACAAGAATGTGGCTGAGTTGGCCGTATGGAGTAAGCTTGCGGAACCGGAACTCCCGAGAACGGATATCAAGCGCAGATTCTTGTCTGCAACCTCATGAATACCCTGCGACTTGCCCAAAACACTGAGCCATTCGGCATGGAGATACAAGGTTGCTTGTGTGTGTACTAGCCGAGATTGGCACACTAGGGCTTCATAGGTCAGCATGCAGTCAACCCCCCGGGGCGCGCTTGAATGACTCCACATTTCGCGAACGCAGTCCATTCCATGCGTCATGTTGGCGCGGATGTCACCACTTCCGTAGTCCACTCCTTCCTTTCTTGAATAGCACTGACTATCCTACTGCGTAACATGAATACCTGGTCCTCAAATGTAGAAGACGATTCGACTGTCGGTACTGTATCGCTTGGTATGGTGGTTATTGATGAGATCCACCTACCAACACGATCGCCTTTGATTGACGTAGCGGGGGGCTCGGGAGCCTACGGTATGTATCTTACACATGTGGTGCTTCCAGAACGCTGATAGACTTACGATAAACAGCAACGCTTGGGAGCCGCCTGTTCAAGACCCCTGCGCGATCGAAGACGGTGGGCTGTCTGGCTCTTGTGGGCTACGACTTTCCAGATGCCGTGCGAGAACAGCTACAGGCATGGCAGACGACTCTGCACATAAAGGTCTCGCAGGACAGGCTGAGCACCAGAGGGCTTCTTGAGTACGAAGATGATACATTTGGACGTATGTGACTGCCTTGTTCCAGTGGTAGACTTTTGGAGCTTACGATCGCCTAGCGAAGAAGTTCCGCTACACTGTGGAGCCGTTGAAGCCATCACCAACCGATCTGATAGATACGAATCTACTTGGCTCGGAAGCATTCCATCTACTTGCACCGCCCGAGATTGTCGAAACACAGATTCCAGAATTGATAAAGCTTCGCATGCAGCACGGGTTCAAAAGCCGGCCATTCATAGTGTGGGAACCATTTCCAGCAGCTTGCACCACCCAGAACCGACCTTCAATCCTGGAAGCCTGCAGACTGGTGGATGTATTTTCGCCCAATCACTTAGAAATGTATACCATGTTCGAGGATTCACCCTGCGAAGGCTTTCAGCCTGGCCGACTGGAAACATACGCACTAGAGTTCAGCAAGGCAATCGGACCGAGCGGAAACGGGATCGTTATCGTGAGAGCAGGTGAGCATGGGTCACTGACCACTCAACATGAAGCTAAGAATGTATGGCTTCCGCCATACTACGAATCATCGGCGGTCAAGGTTGTTGATCCTACCGGAGGTGGCAACACGTATCTAGGCGGGTTTATTGCAGGCTGGAAAACATCGGGAGATATTACTGAAGCATCTATGTATGGCAACGTGGCTGCAAGTTTTGCTATCGAGCAGATCGGTTTGCCTTCTTGTGAGGTGAGCGATGGTGAAGAGATGTGGAACGGCACTCGTGTAATGGAGCGTCTTTCTGAGTACAGGGAGAGGCTCAGCTCCACAGGCAAGAAGTGAGAAGAGTATATCAGAAAGATAGAAGGGGCCACTGCAATAATCGATTCGACTATGAGTTTCGGAGACATCAGTCCGTATGGAGCCCGATCAATCGTGCCGTTTGAGAGCCACCTCTGGTGTCTGCCGATGCTGGCCTGCTACCATTGGAGCAAAAATATCCGCAATACGCTGTCGGGACACTTGATGTCACTTATAGCGCCATGCAGAAGGAAGTCCTGGTGCTGGATGGACATGGATGTAAGGGAGGCCGTTCTATTCCAGATATCTGGCAGTGATAGAGAGTCCAATCTCAACAGTATTCTGTACAGCGCACTCTGCGCTCGCTCTCTGTTCTTTTCGTTGGGACCTGGGCAAAAGCTGATGACGAGACAAAGCATTGAGGCTCGGTGTAGCGTAATCACATCAGAATCAGTCTACTTTACAGCACGTCATCGAATCCCCGAGCAGCAGGCTTACGTCGACATTGATACGCCTATCTAGCTACAAGCGCTTGAGCAAATTCGCCTTGTAGACAACGTCCGGTATAGCAAGTTCCACTTGCAAAGATGGAAGAGCTCAAGACCGGTGTCAGCTTGCCAGGCAATGTTAACACAAAGGTCACATAGTAGCAACCTCATCCGTTCTACCTCGCTAGCTTAGTCTTCGAAGCAAACCCTGAAGAAGAGCCACCTCAAGACGGAGACGAAGTACTTGCCGCCACCTCCGACTACAAACCGTCATATCCCAGCTTTGACACAATCACACGTAAGTGAGGCTTGGGTCCGCGAATCGACGGAGTCGCGGAGTCACGGAGAATACTCCGCCGAACTTCACTCGCGACCCAACGTACCAAACTGCATACCGACGCTACTGTCTAGATGCCGCTGGAGAACGGAGATGCCGCTTTAGATTGGAGATGCCGCTATAGATTGGAAACACAGACTTCACCAACCCGTTCCCGAGAAAGGGATCCATGTAGTCGCAAACTCAGCCTTGACTGCTCGTATCGAGGACCGGCATACTGTCTCCGAAGGGCTCAACAGCTCTTGGCAGGACATTTCACTCACGGGCGGCTCCCGCAGCCTCATCATGATGCAAGGTATCCTTCCCATACGCCTGCCGTAGCTCCGAAAGTCGCTTTACACGCGGCTGACAAGACTTGGGAGATATGGGGCGATGGGACGATGGGGCGATACGAGGCTCAAGGCGTTCCGTCCTCGCTATCGGTAGCGCGCGGACTTCGAAGCCGAATGAGTGATTTACCACCATCTTACAGCGCAAGACTATCGGAAGTTTGACGATGCAGGATTAGCGATTCGAGGGGTGCTGGAGGACAGCCGCCACCCTCCACACTGGGGAATGCCGGACTACTGTACATATACCAACGTGTACTGTGCAGTAGGCTGGAGAGCTCAATAAGTCACGCGCCAGGCTTCCCAAAGGATGATAGTCAGATCGTCGAGCGTGAGGGGTTGACGAAGGCGTTGTAGCTGTATGCCTAGATCTTTCCCAAGAAACTCTGACAGTACTAATGCACGTACGCATGCAGAAGTCTCAATCCCATGCGTCTCAGCCTTCCACTACAGGATCGCGATCACCGCCCTACCTTGACTGAGGATCCCATTGGGTACCAATTGGGTTACAGGACACGCTACCCCACTGTCGGAACGTGCATTAGTAGGGCTTGTTTTGTAATCTGACAGGATCGGACGCTAAAATCGCCGATCACCCCCCAATTTCCCGCTCCTGCACGTTTGCGCTGCCACAGTCGTGGCTTCCAACGTCAAGAATACGTTTCCACGATACCTTTAGGATGTCCGGCACTGAAGTCTTGGGCTCGACTTCGCTTGTTATTGGTACGAACTAGAACGACGACATGGCGGCGCGCATTCCGGTTCGATACGGAGCCGAATACCGAAGAGATAGAGGAATGCCTTTGCCGCTTTGTCTCCTCAGGCAGCCTCGATAAGTATTCAGGTGAGATATATATAAGAGTATTAGTTCGTGTCTGTATGTCAGGATGACCACATTCGTATGTCTCTTCAGAACAACTTCTAGTAGCACGTCTACTCCACGAGACACATACCAAAAAACAGAGCAACACCATCCTTGTCATTATCACAGCTATTCCACTTCAACGTCTTTCACCAGGACAGATCTTTGATCCCAACCATGCCTTCGTTCCTAATGAGAACTTCACACGGTCTTATCACCATCTACGACTCAAATCTCAAGAACGACCAGCCCGCCCTCCTTCTCCTACACGGCAACGCCTCATCCTCCAAACAGTTCCGCCATATTATCGAGTCGCCCACGATCAACAAGAGCTGGCGCATCGTTACTCTGGACCTCCCCGGCCACGGCTGCTCGTCCAATGCCCCTGATGTGAAGACAACGTACTGTCATCGTGGCTACGCCGACCTCGTTATACGTGTCTTGCAGCACCTCAGAATCGAGTCTGTGGTGCTCATGGGCTGGAGTCTGGGTGGTCACATCGCGATCGAAATGCTTCCCTGTCTCGCCCATGATGATCCTCCCATGGTGGAAGATGCACCTCGGATCAGCGTCAAAGGGCTTATGCTTATCGGTACCCCGCCCTCGCGTGGCGCCGAGCAGATGGCTCAAGCGTTCAAGATGCCGGCTGGTGGTCTTACCTTCGCGGGGAATAGAAATTGGGTCAATTTGGAGGCTGACCTTTACCTGAGACACGGTGTGGCAGCGGGCAAGGAAGAGTTCTATGAGAGGTGGATGTTGGAGGATGCGAAGCGGACGGATGGGCGCGCGACAGTCTTTATCGCTGATGCCGCGACTGGAACGAAGGATAGCCCGCCCAAGGGTTGCGATCAGAAGCGTGTGGTGGAGGCGACTGATGTGTTGATCGCGGTCGTGAACGGAATGGAAGATCAGTTTGTCAACCTGGATTATATCGACGAGGAGGTGAAGTGGAAAAGGCTCTGGAGGGGTGAGTGCTTGGGCTTATCTGGGCTCGGGCATGCGCCATTTTGGGAAGATGCGGCAGGGTTTGAGAAGGTGTTGGAGGAGTTTTTGGACGATTGTGAGGAGTGGGAGGGTTCGGATTGTGATTCTGCTGTAGGTATTTAGTCTACCATGTTCATGGTTTCTCTCCATGTACGCAAATCACTGATACCTAATGCATATGTAGTATCCACTACTGGTTCTTGTTGAATGTGCTGGTTCTATAACGCAGGCACGGCGCGGCTGAGTAACACCGTAGATAGTCGCAATGCAGGTGTATTTCCCAAACACCTTTGCTCACAGTATGTAGCAGGTAGTATCCGCTACAATCCCATCATAGTCGTGAGCATATGCATTGGAACGCCACATCGCATACCATAACGTCCACTAATTGCTGACAAACATCTCGATACGAGGACATGTGATCGCAAGTTCGCTTCTGGCGAGGTCTGGATGGGGCGTAACTAGTCAGTGTTCGCGGAAGCGCTAGGTCAACACTTCCTAAAGCTAGATCCCTGTACACGTCCCGCCTGATCTACGCATGTCTGATCTAATTCTTACGACCTAGCAGGGCGTAGTCCCACTCCTCTTGGTACTTTCGGAAGAAATCCCGCTCACCAATAAGGTGCTTGCCCATGAACGCCTCCCAATGCTCGCGCTTTTCCCCGCCCTGAGTCATGGCCTCGAGCTCTCGCGCTCTCCGCATGCGTACCAACTTCTCCGCGGTCTGCTTCAGCTTCTGATGTGGAGCAGCGTACTCGCCGAGACGAAGACTCTTATCAATCTCTCGGCGATTTAGGTATACATTGGTAGCTGTGCGTATTTTGCTCAAAGTCCTCCCGCCTGGGCGAGCTGCAAGTTTGCGATCGTTTAGTAAGGAAAATATCCCGAGCTCCCATTGATCAGGCGGAAGCTTCTCCAAGCCGTCCGTGACTTCGAATCGCTTGTACCATCTATGTTCACCTTTGGCGATGGTACGCATCATCTTATGCCGGTCTTCGCTTTCCATATATTTGATGAGACTATTCTTGACCACAGCTGCTTTCTCCGCGTATTTGCTAAAGGTGGACAGACCGAATGGTATTATCCCAGCGAGGGATGCGCCGTCGGAAATGGACCTGGTTTGGCCAGTACCTATGGACAATAAGATGGCAGGTTCGTTCTCATCACCCCAAACCGAGGCAGCTTCAGAATAAGCGCAGTAGCTGGGGTTATTCTCTCGTATGCCACCATCTTTGAAAGTGGAGCTACCGTGGGGGCCCTTTACTTCCAGTGGCTTGAAAAAGAAGGGTGTGGCGGTAGTCGCTCGCCCAACCTGCCACGTAGACATGTCTGAAGTACCTTCGTTGTAGGTCGTGACCCATGGTGGGGCAATACTAGGGTCGTATTGATGATTGTAAGTGCGCAAGAGATGTGTCTCGTCCCATCGCCGAGTGGAGATGGCAGTTACGCATATCCTAAGCATCATCAACAACAGTTCTTCCTATATGATTCCAACACACTTGATCACCTACGTTTGGCAAAGCTGATATTCTGGACTCTGTAGCTCGAAAGCACGAAGCTTGGACTCCATAGGGTCTCGTCGTGTCGTCCAACTGTTCGCGTCGTCCGAATCGTCCGAATCATCCGGGTCATCGAGTTCCTCTTCACTTGCGAGATCTTCCAAACCTGTCGTGCCCCACCAAAAGTCATGGTCTTGATTGCAAAGACCGCGTTCGTGCTGTTTGCAGTGCTGTCGGGTCATCGATGCAAGCGCAGCCGTAAGATCCGAATGGCTGTACTTTGTAGCAAGTGGGACTACGTTTCGTGAATTTGCATACATCGCATTGAGGATGGACTCAAAAGCGACGATCGTTTGGCCCACGTTCATGCGAAGTCGACTCAGCGCGATGGCTAGTATCCTAACATAATGTATTAGCATGAGTTTGTTCTCGACGACGGCTAGCATGCTCACCCTCCTGTCGACGTGCCATACATCTTATGAAAATAATGGCATGGACGGAATTCGGAAGCTTCGAAGCTTCTGGGGTATTGTGTAAACTGCCGCTCAAATCGGTTCTCACAAGCGATAACCTCTTTCATGAGTTCCTCGATGATCAAAAGACTTGACCACGACTTAACTCCACCACCATCTGACCCTCGAGTTAGCAATCACTCTGCAATCACTAGCGCAAGTACAGACCGAGAGTGAGTAGGCATTCTCCAGATCCACCTTCCACCAATCTGGACCATGTAACTCCCGATTTGTCTGCTTGAGAAGGTGTATCATTTTTCACCAGGCTCAACGGTCTGTCATAGTTGAACTTCTTCTCTCTCTCAGTCTTAGTGGGAGGTTCTTCGTTGTACAATGACTGAAAAGATGCGCCATCGGTGGATTCCTCGTCTTCATTGGTCTTAATGAAAGGTTCCTCGCTGCTGAAGAATGAACGGATCGATGCGACATCGTTGAGTTCTCCGTCTCCATCGGGCTCGGTGAAAAGTTTCTTATTGGATGCTGAACGCAGCAATGCGCCATCGTTTGTTTCCTCGCCCCTCTCGTTCTCAGTGATGGCGATGTTGTAGGCTTCAGACAAACGCAAAGGCAAAAATTCGGGTTTGGCTTCTTCTACGATCCAATCGGGAGTGTTTTCCAAGAATACATCCTCTAATGAAGCCACAATGAGGTCACGATTTTTACCGACAAACTCTGTAGTAAAGCCTACTGCTCGCAGAGATCTTTCTATCTCTAGCCAGACCTGTCGCTCAACATACGGATTCTCTGGAGCCGTATCAAAGCTGCGAATTGATGGAGCCACAGAGAAGCTGCGAATTGATGGAGCTGTGACAAAGCTACGAATGGATGGAGCTGCAGGGAAGCTGCGAATGGATGGCGCCGTAACAAAGGTGTGAATGGAAAAAGCCTTTTCTGTGTTTTGAAGGCTATTCACTAGCTGAGTGAGAGTCTCCTTGATGGTATTGTAGTCTTTCTGGGCCTTGCGGTTGCTGACGATGTTAAGATGCGATTGCAGACTTGTGAGCCTTGACCGCAAATCCAGAACATTTTCGCCGAAGGATGGAGAAGTCTCGTATCCTCCAAGTCCACCTTGCTCTAGTGTCTCTACCAGTAGTTTAAGCTCTCGTAGTATTGAAGCGCATTCTTCTGAAACTCTTCCAAAGTGTAGGTCGCTGGAAAACACGCTAGTGTCGAGCGTGTTTGCATAGTCTTCAGTGTATTTCGCAAATACACTCAAAGCCTCTAGGCTACCGAGAAGTTTATGGGAGTTGTTTGTTTCGTTGCAACGACTGCTCAAATGTTCAGCGACCTGCCGTATTTCGGTGATCTGATTGATGGTAATGTCTCTGCCTGCGGTAATGTCACCGTGGAAGACGGCGCCACCCCCACTATCCACGGATCGGTCCGGCAGGTCCATTCGTGCGCAAGTAGCTTGGCTGAGGTTCTGCAACCACCCGGAGGATTATTTAGAGGCTGACGGCGACATGCAATCCATGAATCGGTCTTGGTAACGTTTGGGATGGAGGTGTTCTTCTGGGTGTCCTCACAAGGTGGGGTCAGGCTGACTGCGTATCGCACACCTCGCAGTTGGCTTGGTCAGCTCAGCTGCCGCTGGGGCTGAGACAAGGCAAATAGCCGCCCGCTGTCTGCCTGCTTGACACACTCGTCAGAGGCTGTCGCGCATAGCTTCGAAAGCTGTGGAGATACCGGATATGGGTATGTTCCGCCGTTTGAAGACGAGCGTCCGAAAGAAGAAGGGTCCAGAAAGCGACAAGCAAACCGAGGAGCCACCAGAGGAGTTGTTCTCGACGGCAGGCGCTTACGGCCTCAGAACAGTAGCGGAAGGAGCGACTGATACCGTAGAGTAAGCGCCCAGCCTCACCACCAGAATACACCTAACACCCATCTTAGTATCGTATTCGTCCACGGCCTCACTGGTAACCGCGAAACTACGTGGACGTACAAGAAGACGATTTTCTGGCCAAAAGACCTCCTGGCGAATGACCTCGAAAACGTGCGCATCTTCACCTTTGGGTACGACGCAGATGTGGTCAAACTCCTTAACATCGCGGGCGGAAACACTGTACGCGATCACGGGAAGTCTCTCGCTCAAGACCTCTCCTTGCGAAGAGCAGAAACGAACACAGTACACACCTACCTTCGCAACACCATTCCACCAAATAACCATCGTAGACCTCCCGCCCAGTAATCTTCGTAGCCCACTCCCTCGGCGGCCTCGTCGTCGAACAAGCCCTCCTAATCTCGCGCGGCACCTCCCAGTTACACGTAAAATCTCTCCTCACCTCCACCTTCGGCATCGCCTTCATGGGAACCCCCCACCTTGGCTCGCGAAAGGCAGACTGGGCGCGTCCTCTAACGCAACTTTCTTCTCTCCTCCGGAAGACCAACAAAGACATCGTCGCAGTCCTGGAACCAGCCTCAGAAATGCTATCAACCCTCCAACAAGAATTCCACACTATGTTGGAAGACCGGCGACGCAACGAAGGGAAATGGATTGAAATCTTCTGTTTCTACGAGGAGTTGAGTTACGCGGGTATAGGAGATATTGTGCCGCGTCAATCGGCGATTTTGCCTGAGTATCCTAATGCTAGTATTCATCAAAATCACTCTGATATGACGAAGTTTGGTGGGAAGGCGGATCTGGGGTATGTGAGGGTACGGGGACAGTTGTGGTTGTGGGTTGATGCGATATGCAAAAGAGGGCATAGTACTCCTGGGGCAAGTCCAGGCCAAGCCGACTGTGGTAAACGGACACTTGTCTCGCAGACGAACGAGTCAGAGCAAACATCCGTTGCACCAGTGGAAGCGGAAGTGTCTGAACCGGCAGACTCGGGAGAAAGGCAACCGGCGCAGAGGGAAGCGAAAGTGTCTGCACCGGTAGACTCAGGAGAAATGCAACCGGCGCAGAGGGAAGAGAAAACTAAGAGCAGTCAAGCTGGTGCTATTTCATCTCAAGGCGGCCCAGTCTTCATGGGTAATGTTAGTGCTGGGCGCGACTTTAGATACACTCAACACTGATGCTGAGAAAAAAGACTCGTCGCATCAGGATATAGTATTAGTCGTGACCATTGACCATGAGGCAATCACCCCTCCCTACCTGTTATTACCTTAGTTATAGCCCACACTTGATTGTAAAGACACACCATACAACACGTGCGCAGATAAAGGTTGTGCATTGGTTACACGTGAGACTTTTACGTCCTCCCCAGCCCCTCTTCTCCGGAAAGGCTTTGCGGAACATGTTACTGCTAGAGCTCGGCGCGACCTTCGTTATTCTCAACGCTCATCTTAACATACACATCTCGCCAAAACATCCACTCCCCTTCGTTCGCCTCTGGCCCCATTTAAGCGGTCCAATCTTGATGCGAAGTGCTAGTGCTAGGGACGGCTTTAGTATCGTTAGCATCGAAGTGAGGTCATGATGCCTTCCACTCCTTCGCTGGTTTCTCCTTTCATCCACATACCTACCAGCAAGCCAAACAAAACCGAAACCCCCCACTGAACAAAGAAGATAAAGAACCAACGTGACTCCCACAACCTACCTTTCAAACGCTACATTTTGTCAAAGCTAAGTGCCTAGAGGAAAACGCAGCATCTAACCCTACCTCGAAGGCACTCGCAGCGACTTGCTTCCCCGTGAGTACACAGACAACGCAGCTGACTGAAACTTCACGGTGTGGTACATTGAGGATAGATACAGTCCACAGGTGATATCTTTTGTATGCGGCCTACAGATCCATTCGATGTAGACCCGAAAACATAGTTCATGTTACATGGCGAAGATGAATCGATTTGCTCGATCCAGTCTACTTCTTTTTCTCCTCTTCTTCATCGTCATCGTCATCATCATCCTCTTCCTCATCACTATCCTCTTCATCCTCATCGTCGTCGTCATCGTCATCATCTTCTGCGTCCGAAACTTCTTCTCCGAGAGCCTTAAGTCGTTCCTACAACCATTAGCTGCATCCTTCCACAACCCTTTACACAAAAGGGAATAGAAATCACATACCTTATCTTTCGTCCTCTTCTCCTCAAGATCAGCCAGCACCATGATCAAATCCTCCAACTCAGTCGCCTTCTCCTTCTCTGCTTCTTCCGCTTTACGCAGTTTCTCTTTGAGATCTTTGAGTTCCTTCTCGCTTGCACCTCCAGCCTTACCCTTCTGAGGGTTTGACTTTGCGGCAGCCGCTGCAGCTTCAGCTTTACGCAACTTCTCCTCTGCTTCTTTGACCTTCCAAGTCTGATCCTGCGCTTTTGTCTTAAGATCTTGGTTCTCGGCTTTGAGTTTATCGATGGTGGATTGAAGGGCTGACTTTTCGGATGTGGATTGCTTGAGCTGGGCCTCTAGGGTGGATTTGGATTTCTCTGTCTCTTCTTTGAGCTGCTTGAGTTGAGTCTCTTTCTCTTCTTCGAGTTCTCTGAGCTGCGTCTCTTTCTCCTCTGTAAGGATCTGAAGCTGTGCTTCGCTGTTCTGTACATGCGTTTGTGCGTTGCGGAGAGTTTCGGTGATGGTGGCGACTTCGGTGCGGGTTTGTATGAGTGTATGTTCGAGGTTACGGATGTTCTCGATGGCTTCTTGGCGGGCCTTCTCTGAGGCGCCCAACCGACGCTCCAGCTCAGTGCGTGTTCTGTGTGCGTCGTGGAGCTGCTCGTCGTACTCTTGTCTGACCTTGGCGATAGCTAGATTGGCATCCTTGCTCGCTTGTTGGACCTTGTTGTTGAGCGCAACGATTTGAAGATTGTACTTGTTCTCCATCTCCAGCATAGATTGTCGGTGCTCGCGATCCTTCTTCGCAACTTCCTTATCGAGATCGTCGTGCAATTTATCATTGATGCGCTTCAGGGTGCTACGTTGCTCCTCGGCTGATTGCTGGGTCTTGCGATGCTCGGCCTGCTCCTGGTCTATCTTCTGCTCCAAATTCATGAGTTGTGCTTTAAGCTCTTGGATGGTTTGCTCCTTTTCGTTACTCTCGCCACGAAGTGCATCAACTACATCTCGATCAACACCATCGTGTGATTGATGCTGCTCAATGTTTGGGTTGCGATCGATCGCCCGAGATAGTCGGCTAAAGTTATCCTTTAAGAAGTCTACAAAGGCTTCGTCGAAAAAGATGTCTGGCAAACCACCACCTCCGCCGGCAGTCCGGGGCAAGACCTCAAAGTCTCGTACGAGCGGATGACGGCGTAATCCAGTGATGGCGTCTAGGTATTTGTCACGACCGAGCTTCGTCATGAGTACTGGTTGTAGTTCGCGTCGTGGCACAGGTGAGTCCCTCGTTGAGAATTCGTATACGACTCCTAGCAGTGCAGCACAAAGACCGCGAATCATGACTCGGTCTTCTCCAGGGGTCAGGACGGCTTGTACCAGACTTTGCAGACTGCTGGCTTCTCCCAAGAAATCATCTACTGCAGCGGCATCCTCAAATAGCCAGCCTAGCAATAACATTAGATAGGCTACCGATATGCGCTCATCTTCCCCGAGTTGCAGGCTTGCGATGAGATTCGCCGTAAGCGTTTGTATGCACGTGACGACCTCTTCACCGCTCTCTGCATCTCCTTCCTTGACCCCCATAAGAGTGTCCTTCGCTTGATAGTCATCGAAGATGAGGTGGTAGATTAGATTAGAAGCAAACCAGATTCTGTATGGGTCGCCAGTTGGGGGAACCTGGGGTCCGGCCATTAGGATTGTAAGAGCATTGGCTGTTTCGTCGCCGCCTTCGTGACCACCGATGGCTCGGTTAAGGAAGTGTTCTTGTATTTTTCTGTGATTGTAGAAGTAGGCCTTGATGCACTCGCATCCTGCATTGCGCAGGTCGAACAGGTCGTTCGGCGCCGGAAAGAGGACCAGGTTCAGAAGCGCTTCAATAACGTATACAGAAGGTACGCCGTTGGGAGAAGTGACGCCATTCGTAGGAGGCTCAACAATGGGCCTGACCTGCTCTTGAGCGAATCCTTCTTGGAGCCGAGCGTTGCCTCTAATCAGATCTGCACACGTGTTGAGAGCCTCGATCTTGATGGGCATGGCGGTAGCGGGGTCGAAAGCGATGTTGAGGAGTTGGCGAACGAGGCCATGCTGCTGGAAGACGTTTTGGTTTTGCAGTGTGCCCGGGCTGCCCTTGACGAGGAACATGCGCATTATGGCGAGCAGCCCCCAGATGTTCTTGTCGCTCTGCGGACTGACCCATTCGTCCTCTTCTTCAGCACTCGCGCGTCCCTTCTTCGGCTTGTTGCCGCCGGGTAGCAGCGCGGCAAACCTCGCGACATGGCCCATCTCTCTTATGTTGGTCTGATTGGACACGTTGAAGCGAATGAGGATAGCCAGCAGACTCAAGCAATCTTGAACGACAACCCCGCCCTGGGTGAGGCCGCCATCGGCATGTATCATGTTGAAGACCTTGGTAAAGGCATCCTCGAAGACGAAGAGCTTCTGGAGTTCGGCAGAGGTTCGGGACAGGTCGGTAAGGACGACGAGGGCTTCGTTACGGATGGCATCGCGGGGGTCGTCCAAGGTGGCTACCAGGCGCTCGATGCCGCCTGGGGCTGTGAGGACACATTCCTGGGTTCGTTGGGGGCGGGCGAGCGAAATGGCGCGTATCAGTTGCAGCGAATAGAGGCGGGAGTAGAAGTCGGGCTTGTCTAGGAGATCAAGCAAGAGAGTGATGTTGTCTTGCCGCTATCATAAGCTCAGCACTAGTAGATGTGTAGCAGGACAGGACCTACTTGGGAGAACTGGTCGGCCAGCAGCAGCTCCAACTCCTCCGAGGCCTCGTGACTGGTCTCGTCGGGGTGGAAGAGCATGAGCAGCGTCTCGAGCACCACCTTGAGCGTGTCCACGTCGTCGCCATCTTTAGTCAGCGAGGCGATGAGCCCTTTGAGGGCGCCCGAAGCGACCGAGGCGGGATATTGTTTGGCGAAGCTCCGGAGGCCGAGGATGGCAGCGCGACGGTCTTCGAGGAGGCTTGCGCTCGTCAGCCTCCCACTAAGAGTGCTGATGGTGTCGGTTGCCGTCTGCTTCGGAGGCGCATTGGCCTCGAGAACGCGCATCATCTTGGGAGATTGGCAAGATTATGGCTTCATGGTAGATAGGTAGACAGTGTTTGGTCATACATGTGACTCTCCCATAGGCAACGTAGTCGTCCCGTTGCATCGCAGGCCTCGTGGTGTGGAGCTCCACGTATAATTTGGCGCACGGGCTCGCGGCTCCTCCACATCCCTGCAGCGTCGGCGGGTCGGCAAAACCGCGACCTTCAGGGTCCCGGCCGCGATGCTAAGGAAAGAGCGCGTCTTCCATCGCCGCTCCCTCTCCCTCTCTCTCCCCATCACCACCTCCCATCAACCATCGTGCGCAAACTCGGTGATCGCGCGCCGACAGAGATTGCGGCACTAGCACTCATATCGCCGCACTGGATATCGCATCCGGCGCTTCAAGAGGAGGAAAGGGCTTTCATCGCCATCAGGCAGTCTTTTTCTTTCCACTGCGCATCGTCGCAGCACTACCACACACTCCAGACTACTAGTACACACGCTCTCGCACTCGTCGCAATCGCACTCGCACTACTACCCTCCAGCTACAGTCTCACTATAGCCACCCTTCACCCTCACACGCCGCGCGCCACCGAGCGCCTACCGCCATCATGGGTGTCCCAGCCATGTTCCGCTGGCTCAGCCAGAAATACCCCAAGATCGTCTCAACTGTGCAGGAGGAGTTGCCCAAAAAGGTCGGCGACAATGTCATTCCTGTAGACCGCACCGGCCCCAACCCCAACGGCGAAGAGTTCGACAACCTCTACCTCGACATGAACGGCATTGTGCATCCTTGCTCGCATCCCGAAGATAAGCCTGCGCCCAAGACCGAGGCCGACATGATGATGGCCATCTTTGAATACACTGATCGCTGTGTCGGCATGGTCCGTCCTCGTAAGCTTCTCTACATGGCAGTCGATGGTGTTGCGCCTCGTGCCAAGATGAACCAGCAGCGTTCGCGTCGTTTCCGTGCCGCCAAAGAGGCAAAGGAAAAG